AATGGGTTAGAGTTATTACGAGATTCTTCAAATTCTACATGTGAATATATGTGTATGAATCTCTCTTTCTCTCTTCATGTATATAGGTTGGTGGGTACGAAGGTATGCATGCATTTATATATGTATGAAAATTGTCTAACCTAATAGATATAATGACAAAATAGCAACAAACTATGGTGACAAAAAGGGCGGGCGAAATTTCCTATTCCAACCACCACTAATAATATGCTTGTGAATAGCATTTGCCTCATTATGAAGTATTTGCATGTTAATCCTAGACACAAGTAGCGTCAGCTGTCATATAGGTTCGGGAGCGTAAGTAGGGCTAAACGCCTGAGTACATTATTTAGTCAGATTAGGAAAAGACTCGGCTGTTTGGGCCAGCTCCGCTGATATCATCAGAGCTAGCCGTGTTACGGCTGATCCTCAAGCTGGATGAACAATGTCAACCTCTGTGCGAGCGTGTGTGGCATAGGTCAGGGTCATGAAGATGTGTTCGTGTGTATCTGTATATGTAAATATGCGTAAGTGAGGAGTTTTCTTTGAGATGGTTGAAGATAGTGGTAGAAGTAAGAAATTGGGCATAGCAGAAAGAAAAGATACACATTTGGCAAAGTTGAGATACAACTAGTTTGGAGGACCAAGATGTAGGGAATACCAAATAAGCGCACAAGTAGAAGCAGTAGATTCGACGTGCGTATGTGCATAAGGTTTTTAGATTTAGTCTGTGTGAAGCAAATATAAATGTGTACGTCTTCCTTAATTATTGAAAACTATATTCCCTAATTATACGTCCAGTTTGACGGGCATTCTTCTCTTCATCCAGCAGTGGATGCTTAGGCAAGTGCTTCCAACTAGCAAATTGCATCAGTGACATGTGTTTAGCATTCAAATTAAATCTGCAAAGTAACTACTCTTCTTTAAGGGACAAGCCGAATGAGATGGAAAGAAGAAGAATGGAGAGAGAAGAAAGAGGAGGAAAATACTCCAAAGAAAATAAAAGTTCCTGCCGATTTAAAGGAAAAAAGCAAACTTCATCATTTACGGGACAAATGAATACTTGCGAATCAGCCCTGGTATCCATCAGCAGAATACGTCTAAAACGGTTTTAATTTAACTGTTGACCTGAGGTCAAAACCCTGATTATCACCAACACTGTGAGTATAACAGAGAAGTGTTGAGGAACTAAAGAGCAGAGATTTAGCATAACTTACACAAACTATAAAGTGCAAACAAATAGGCTTAAATGAAGCCTAGTTGCAGTTTGTTCCCAAACGATCCTACAACTAGAAGGCATTGGAACATTTAGAAAATGACAAAAGCCGAATTATCAATCCTCCTGAGTCTGTCCATAAAGTGTAAAAACATGTTGAGACATCCTTGACCAACCAACGGGTGTTTAGTTGGGCCCTGTTGATACTAGCAATTATAATAACTACTATGGTAGAGGACTTCGGACAAGGTGCATTCAACAAAGTCGCCCTGACAACAAGGCCAAGCTGCGAAAGCAAGGTCAACCCACTTTTATCAATCGATAGGAGACTGCGACCATACCGAGGGCCACACCATTTTGGTCTTCATATCAGCGGGTGTTTAGTTGGGCCCTGCGTAGAGTTTTGCTTAATGAGCTCATTTATATCCAGTCTCTCCATTACCGCCTAATGACCCCAACTTGACGGGATGGAGGGAGGAGCTGAGGTCAATCACATGCTAGCCTCCAGGTCATTGGGGAGTAGGTCAAGCAAGTTGTTCGGCCATCCAACTTTCGGGGTAACATGGTTGAGCGAGAACTTTCAGGCCGGTCATAAAGGTGTAACAAATACGCCTGTTTCTCGTTGGTGGAATAATCTCTTCTATGGAAAGCAAGTTACCAGTATTGAATCCCTGCAACTATGACTCACGCTGGTAGACGACTCCTGTTTACCACTCTTTAACTTGTGAGTATTCCGAGGTCACGGTACAGACGGGAAGCTGGCAACATGAAATTAAGGCTTTTGGGATCGCTCTAGCCTAAAGCATAGTTAGGAGAGGAGTATTTGACTTTAAGGCATGGCCGCAGAAGTCAAGAGGATATCTTTATCAAACAAAGGCGAATGTGAAGCAGGGGCAATGTGTGAGGTTAGGAGTCATCGTCTGGGCATTTTGACAATTATGGGCCCGTCGCATAGGATATGCCAAGGTTATTCATCTCAAGTCTTTCGTTTGGGTTTTGTATGCTGGCGGTATTGCAAGATGTGAGAAGAGGGTGAGGAGGAAGTGGCAAAGAGACGAAAGCTTGCGGGCGAGTGGACAGCAGAATAGTGCTGACAGATGACACGAACAATATACAGGCAACCGCAGACACTGAAGTTGCCTGAGACACAGGTTGACGAGACATCAGCTGGAACAAACAAAGCAGGCCAAGTCAACGGCCCACCGAGCCCTCATGTTGGAGAGGCAGTCTATCAAGTGAGGATAATAACTACTTGCTAAAGTTCATCCTAAACAAATAAGCCAACAAAGTGCTTAGCATATATAGAGTGAGAATTTACTAGTAATAAAAGTAAATTAAAAGGGATATATGAGTTGGGGTAATCTCGAAAACCTACTCACTCACGAAAAAAATTAATTAAGAGGTCCTTTTTAAGTTAAGCGATGGAACTGTGGGATAACACCATAAATGAATGGTTGGCTACGCATTAAATAAATAAGGACGTGAGATCTTGGCGACTGTTAAATGGATGGGATATTGCCCATCAGTGAGTCCCTTGAAGTTTCCAGAGTTGATAGAAGTTATCGACGTGAGTGAGCCTATCCTCAAACTTTGATGTACAATGCTGAGCATCTTGGCCAAAACCAATTATGGAACGGAATTTAGGGCTATTTTAACATCTGTAACTGCATCCAGCTCATGAATAGTCGATACTTTCGACTAGTAAGAAATTCACTTCATCCCAGCCCCTGAGACAATAAGTAAATTCCTGTAAAGAGACCTGATCAAAGAGATCAGCAAACACATGGAATCATCAATGTGCGAGGGGAATTAATGATAAAAAGAGTAAAATAACAATACCAGGATAATAGAGCATAGAGTAGATAGAGGTGATCTGACCTCGTTTCTACAACTTGGTTGTGTTGTCACAGTGACTTAGTTGGACGCGCCTTGCCCGAAGTTCTCTGCTATAATAGTTATAAATCCCAGAGTCGGGCCGTGGATTTGGTACATTCCCAGACGTTTCACAGACATAGTCAGTGAGTCATGTCAGTCTCATTATCAAGCTACACCTCGTCAGAGATGAGTGAAGTCAACTCTCAGTGAGTGTGGTCTGCTCAAAGAAACAAATACAACTTTGGGGACCTGGCGGTCACATGAATAGGGAGATGGATAATTACACCGTTACAGAAATTCGGTATTAAAGCCAAATTGACTAGAAATCACCTCAAGAAGTAGCAGGTGCCCAGGAATAGACGTACACAGTTTGCTCAAGGTATATGAGCTTATTTTCCGTATATAAGCAGATTTTCGAGACTACCAGTAAATCAGTAATATTCGCATCTGCCCTGTGACCCAAGAGCATTCGTGGCAATGTGGCCGAGTGATTAACGTGTTAATCTCACATTCTGCACTGTCACGGTCCGAATCCCACTGTGAGTGTTGATACGACCTATGCGAGGTCGAAACTGCAGTCCACCCTGGATGAGAACAACTTTTAGGAAAGCAAGGCTATGTGAATTTCAGTGGAAACATCAGCTCTACTCATATCATTGTGGTGAAATTCTACTACCAGTCTCTGGTCACCGTAAACGAAATAGGGTGAATGCATCTCATGTGTAATATCTACAAGCATGGGAATCAGAGTCTATGTACTCTGCAGGCAAGGCGACTTTGTAAGTAATATATGCGAAGAAAAGTTGGGTTTCGAGGAATCTCTTGTTTCATAATTGTTAAGCTTACTTCCATTTCGAATCAAAGTGTTGGGTGAAGAGATTCGAAGGTCGGTTCCACCAGAAGACGGTGGCGGATTTCTCTTGACCAGCTGTCGATTGGCTTTACTGGAAGATTCAGGCTGACGCTGTTTCCCAGGTAATCTCCTTCGATTCCTGTGAAAAGGTGCTAAGCTTTCGTCCGTCATATGACGAACATCATCAGAGAAAGGTATCATTGTCAAAACAAAATTCAAGCTCACAAGTCAAGAAAATTCACTGGCAAATGCCTAAAAAGTGGTATATATACTGTACATCTGACCTCTTTGATCAAGTATAAAGTTATTTGGTTAGTTAAAGTAATATGTCAACTTCGATGCCTGTAAGTGTGTCTGTTTCTGTATGTGTATGTGCCTGTTTGTGTTCGCCTATGCACGAAACCCTCAGTGATGGCTCAAAGTAATTAAGACAGCAAAAGAAACGTCTGTTTTTGACCATCAGGATTTAATGACCCCCATCTCCCCCTTTCTACATACATGTTATAATCATCACTCCGTCTAGTTTTGTAGATGAGCCTTTTTTGTTTTTGGTCTCAATGCGAGAGAGAAAGAGTGAGTTAAAAGTACAGACTAGACTCAATGAAAGCATAAACAAGTTACATGACCTGATTAGAACGAAAACAAGAACTAGACTATCCTTTACTCAGCAATTTTCTCAAGAAAACTTTGTAAATTGAAGAAAATGGCAGACGGTTTGGCGGATAGGATGGATAAGATCCATAGATCCCGACATGATAATAAATTAAGAAATTTAGGCATCGACATCAGCCGAAGAAATCGTCGAATAAATAAGGAGGTATAAAGACCAAGATGGTGTGGCCTTTTGTGTGGTCGCAGTCTCCTTTTGTTGTATAAAAGTTGTTTGACCTTGTTTTCGCAACTTGTTCATAATGCTAGGAGGACTTATAGAAACGCACCTTGTCTTGAGTCGATTGTATGCATAATTATTTCCAAAGTCGGACCGTGGACGTGGTAGATTCCCAGACGTTTCGCCGGCATCGCAGTCGGCATCGTCAGTGAGTTTTACCATTTATAGCACTATATTACAACTCGTCAAAGAGACAAGTGAAGCCTATCCAAATGTGTGCTAAACAGTCATGGTATCTCCCGTTTTGCCCTGGCCTATCATATTTCCTATATCCTCCAATCACGTCGTCACTGCCACAACATTTTACTTGCTTAATTAAATGTGGTCAGTGCCCTTTATTTAAGCGGCTTTCATGAGAACTCTCCGCCCTCAACGCTGGCCTTCTCACCA